AGAACTGTTTTCTAACATTGGCGGTTACAGAGGTAACTGCCAATGACACAGTAACCCTCTTAAAGTGAAACAAAACTTTTGGAAGGCTTGAAATTTTCATTATTCAATTGTTCTATATGATTGATTTTTATAGTGAAATATTATTAGTATAGTTCAAAAATATTCGGTTTTACTGTTTCAATTGACATTCGGATAACGCATGTACCACATCTGAGACACAAACTAATTTAAAAATCTAATAAATGAATAAGAATAGGAAGGTATTCATGCATGTGACTTTTACAATTTTGTAACTATTCAATTGGGATTTTACATTTATTATACGAGAATATTATTAAGATTTACAAAAAAAAATTTGCTTTTTTACTCAATAGTTATTAATCTTGAAGATCAAAAATAATTCAAAAAGTGTTATATAAGAAATTTTTGAAATAATATATTAAAAACTATGAGTGGTCTGCACAATTTACTGATCAACTCTTTTATTGTATAAAAATTTCATTCATAAGCATAAAAATATTTCTTTAAAATCCTTAATTCATTACCTTCACCCCATACAACACTAGCATACAATTTGTATATAGAAACAAAATAAACAATGTTGGTATACTTTCATATTAAAATATTGAAAATTATTCATTTGAAAATTTCAAATAATTAATAAAGAAGCAATAAACTCATAAAAATGCTGTTTAATTCAATATAATTTAAATGAATGAAATTAAAATAAAAAAAAATAAATAAAATAAAATTCAATTACATTGAATTCTTCAAAATGCCACATTACGTGCGTTTATACTAGACTCACGAAAATCATCATATGTAAGCATTTGCATAGAAACCCAAAAATTTTCTTTACACTTTTCCAATTTACGACAATGAAAATTTATTTTCAGGTAAAAGTAAAATTTTAAATTTTCTCGGCGTTTTCCAATAGAATTATTTTAAGAGCATACGCGGAAGTAAGAAAAATTGCAAATAGTAATGCGTTTAGTAACCGCATAACATTGCACTTATAATTTCGAATTATTTTAATGTCAAGACGATTACTGTTCTTTCTTTTAAAATTATATATGCATATACTTATAATAAACAGGAAATTTATATAATAATAACATATATAATAAAGCTAGTATATATGTATAATATTCTTATTTTTTTAAATTCATTCAACTCATTGAGCTCATTGAAAATATTTTTATGATGAAAATGAGTTTGTGCATAAAATATAATGTGTATATACATATAATTTTAGTGCATCTACAAGTATATAAATAAAATATGTTTAACATAATTATTTAATAAACTTTTGACATTTTAATGAGATTAAAATTATAATATATAGAGAACTGTTATATACTTAGAAACACATGCGATTTATAAGTGGAATAAATTTAAAGTGATGCAATTTATTTTGCATGTCATAAGTTGTATACGTATTTTTCTTGACGATATCAACTCAATTATTAATCACTTTCATGTAAATGGCATGAATCAATTAATAATAAATTGAATATTTTGTTTAATTTAGAGAGAAACATAGAGTAGATCTAATTTATATACAAAATATGTTAATTACCATACGCATATAATCGTAAATTGTACATATAATTTTAATAAGACAAAAGCAGACTATTTTTTTATATACATATTATTATATTTATTATATACATATTTTTATGAAATCTAAAATGCTTACTATTTATGCACATTTAAGAACAGTTAAATAAAGTTTTTTATAATTTATTTAGTGCCAATATAATATAATGTGGATCATTCTAGGAAGTTTATTTCTAAGTGGTAATGATTATTATATTATCGTAAAAAATTTAAATTTCAAATTTTAAAATACGATATGTACCATTCTTTTACGATATATTGTACTTAATCGAAATATTACGTTATTTTATTGTTACAAATTAAGTTTCGTGAATAGAACTGCTTTCAATAGGAGCCCAAAGTGCTGTTTAGATAAGTACGTGCAGGGTAATTGCGTAAATTATTTCTGTAATCTGACCGCCGGCTTACATTAGGTAATATACATTTGTGTTCTGTATTGCCACTTTGTTCCAAATGGATCAAACGTGGCCCATTTTTGTTGTTTAAAATCATTTTTGCCTCACGGCCCAATTATATCGTAATTAGTCGTACTTGGCCCATTTTCAAAAGTTTTGAGAAAATTTAAATTATTCTCTTTTTCAAAAGTTTTTTATATAAAACTTGATTGTAAAGATGGTACTAGATCTTAAAATAAAGTTATAAATTGTGTATAATGCTCTTAATGTTCAGGATTTAATATTAACATTTTCTTATTAGATTGCGCCATGTAAGCATTATATTGTCATTTTTCTAGATACATGTTTATTTTGCTAAAGATTTCACTCTAAATTTCTTTCAAATATCCCAAAAATTTTTTAGACTTCATACAGCAGACAAACAACGCAACCTAATGAAAATTTCAAAATAAAAATCTTGAAATTTGAGTTAAATTTAAAATTAGACTACAAACAAGTGTTTAATTTCTAAAATTAAGCTTATTATCAGTTTGGGACCATTAATTTTTTCATGAGTGGCAACCCTGTTTGTATGTCGAATTGATGAATACAATTTTAAATATAATTGAATAATATTGAATTTAAAATTTTTATATAATTTTTCTTTTGAGAACTTATTCTATTTTACTTCCCCGTATTTTAAAACTAATTGGAATATTATAATTGCGCTTCACAGAAACTTTGCTTCAACAAGTATAAAATCACGTATCTTAATTCTCTTTCTGCAAAAGTAAAACCTCCAAACACATAAATCATATTTGATTTCAAAATGATCCATTATCATTCCAAATGGTTTTTAAAAATTAAAAATCATAAATGAAATTTAATTATTTTTATAAATTTTATTTAATTTAAATTTTATAAATTTTACTAATTTCATACGTTGTTGGCTATGAAAATTATTTGTAATTAATCTTAGAAAAAATTTTATTGATAGGAGCGTATACTTAAAATTAAAGTTACATGCCCATAATTTCTATTTTGAATGATGATTACAAGATTTTTCTTTATTTCTAGCAATTTACTATTGATTTATTTTGATAAAATGAAAATCGCATTCAAAATCGTTCTACATATACATACTATATTATTCTAGCTATATAAAATATAATTGGAACAACATTAAATTTTTAATTGCTATTATTTCAGCAAAACGCTAAAAAACCATTCAAATCAATTATATTAAATTTTTAATTTTCAACAATGAAATATTTTTCCTATAGAGTCGTAGAGGAACATGAAATTTCTATACTTTTAACTACTTCAGGAGCTATACGAATAAATTATTTTACCATTTAAAAAACTTCACCAAAAAAAAACACATAATTTAATACAAAACCTTCGATTTAAAATTTCTCCGCGAAAAAATTGTAAAAATATTGAAATTTGTCAAATTTACCGATTTTCAAATTCCAAATTATCTAATATGCTTTTAATAACTAAATTTGTCGAAAACGAATGTAATTAAGAAGAGATTTTTCTCTCTCCTTGAATTTTCTTCCGATTTTTACCGAAAACTGACAATTCAATTTTTTTTAACGCCTAAAAATATGTTATTTTTATATTAAATTGGGTTTATTCTTAATAACTTTATTTTGTTCTAAAATAATTCGACAGTATTATTAGTCATCAATATTTAATATGAAAAAATTCGGAAATTAAGGAAAAAATTAAAAACAGGAAAACCAGAACAAGTAAAAACTTTCGACATTGTCCTAATTTTGAATTGAACAATTGGATTATTGGCGGCAAAATTCTTAAAATTTTTTTCTATTGAATAAATGTATTTTTATTTTTGGAAATTTGTATAAATTCAAAAATTTCAAACAATACTCGAACATTTTGTTAACGTATTGCATTATTGTACTTGTATTTAACGTGTAATTGCATATTTTCACGCACGTATTCCGAAAATTAAAATAAAAGAAAATTGGCAATCGTTTTATGTGTATACATACATAGATCTATAAATATACTTACAACATTTTCTCAAAATCATCGAACTGATAAATTTAAATTTAGATTTTTATAAAAATTATAAGATATGTGGACGAGTTTTTTCGATGCATCATATAAAATATTATTAAAATTGTATTAAGTTAAGTAAGTTAAAATTATATTTCAAAATAAAATATTTTAACATAAGTATGCATAAATTTTTCAGCGTTGTCATTCAAGTATAAGAATGCGAGAACTATTGGACATTATGATTAAAGAATTTTCTTTCCCATTCATTATACCCGTACGAACGTATGTTCGAAGGGTATACTAAATTTGCCTTACCGTTTGTAAAGCTAAGAAATAATGCATAATAGGCGTCGAATTCTGAGTTGATTTAGCTTTGTCTGCCCGTCCGCTCGTCAGTGATAATTTCAAAACAAATCGAGCTAAGTTCACCAAATTTTCATAAATGATTTATTTTAGTAAGTGCCAGAACTCTATTTAAATTGGACATGATTGGGGTACCGGTTCGGGTAGCTGCCCAACAACTTCAAAATTTATTTGGCTATATCTTAGAAACTATAAAAGCTATGGTATTGAAATTTCACACAAACGAATATATTAATAGGACCGATGTGTTTGATAAAATTAGTTAAAATTGCTTGGCTCTTTGTGGTAGCTGCCATACAACTTCAATAGTAGTTTGGCACACACATTATTTTGAAAAACACAATACTGAAATTTTGCATAAATTAATATGGTAATAGAACAACTTAAACTCATAGTCTGTTCCATAGTCAGTTATGGCATATTTATTTACACATAGGATAACAAATTCGTACAGGTATCACAGAGTTGACAAGGTCAACTCCATTTTTTCTCGTTTTCATTAAATTACGTAAAGCGCACGTTACACATATTAACAAAAAGCATATTATTATTATTTTAGTGAGAAATTAAAATTAAATTATAAAATAACAAAAATAATACTGTTATGTATTATACCTTTTGTCCCAGGGTCCAGGAAAAAATGCCATTTAAGCTTTCACCCCATTGAAATCTGTAATAAAAAAAAATAATGAGATATAATGATAATTTTCTCATAGTATTTTTTATATACATATATACTTATATAACACAAAATTTGTGGAAATAATTGTCTATATGTAGCAATAGTTATTAAGTGCACTGTAATTGAATTTCAATAGTGCTGAAGTATATCAATCCAAAACACAGCGAAATAACTAGGTATAACTTTTCATGTTAAGCGCAGATAGAAAGAACATGTAAAGAAGAAAACAATAGAATTAGAAAAGAAATATAGAGAAAATTTATAAAGGTATAAGGGAGAAGATTTGGATAAAAACACTGAAGCGAACGAGATCTCTCGATTTCGGCATTAAGTTTTTGATAGTGCTTCCGTGCTTTCGTTCACGGAATGTAGGCACAAACACACGATAGAGCAAAACTAATTGCTAGTAAGTTTGACTAGTTTTGAGAATGTATGACTATCAAGTTGCGTTTTAAGTTGGGTAAAAATCCCCCACTACTGAGAGGTCTGACGACAGTTTGGGTCTGCCTATCTTTGCCTTTCGATGATTTTTAACATCTGTATTACCAAAAAACAAAATTTATTATTCGAGTAATACCTTGAATAATTTTGGGTAATTTTAGTTCTCTAGAATTTATATCCAAAAATTTTAAATTTTAGAGTACATCAGGCGAAATCTTAAGTTTTTACTTTAAACGATTTATTCCAAAAAAGTCTACCATTATTCGAAAATTATATTTAAGTTGCTATTTCTTTAAATAGTCTATCTTTATTTAACCTTTAACTGACCTTAAAAACCTATTTTTATTTTTTCTTTTTCTAAATATACACTTTTAGATATAAGACAAATAAAAAAAATCAATTGCAAAGATAATTCTCTTATTTTCGAAATAACCATGTTAGCTATAAAATTAAAATTTCCCTCAAAATATGAATTAATGTGGTTTAGAGACCTATTCGTTACAATTTCAAAATTAATTATAGAAACATGGAAAAAGCTTTACGTAAACTGAAATTTAAGAATTAGATGTCAAATTTGTTCCGGTTTGCAATATTTCTTAAGATTTAAAGAAAATCTTAAAAGATTTTTTTAAGAAAATTCGAAGAACTTTTCTTTATGAAAATTGCTTTCAAATAGTGAAGGCTTTGAATATACTGAGTTTTTTTTGACATTTTTGTTTTATACACATTGTAATAAACGTGTCATGTAAGAGGAAGTAAAAAATTAATTAAGAACAAAAAATTAAGCACCTATGTATAGAATAATAAGAAACGTGTAATTTAATTTTTTTAAAGTTTAAAATAAAAATTAAAAGTTTTATTTTATACACGTATTTTAACAAAAATAAAAATTTACAAAAAACGTGAGGCTTTTGTTGCCTAAAAAAATAAAAATTTTTTAAGTAATAAAATATTTGATTAACCCAATTAACCTTATAACCTAAATTCAAAAGAAATGAAAAACGAAAAATTATTTTTTTAAGAATTTCTAAGAAAAATCACGCTCAGTTGCATTCTTCATAATCTAAAATAACAAATTATGAAAATTAATTTTATACAAATTTCACTTTCAATTTTGTATACTATGTACATATGTATGTAATAATTTCTATATTTATTTACAAGTATATATTTCGAAAATTTAATGAATTTTTTTTTTCATTATCTACAAGTTAAGAATGTTGTTGATGGAACCCGAATTTTGTAAAATAGCACATTTCCCCTTAGTAATTTAGGAGAACCTGTAAGTCAGGTAATAAATATTAATAAACGAAGCCGATTGTTTTATCGAAACAACTTTCTGGCAACCAAACAATTTTGCATAAGCCCAGGCGAAATATATTTTCAAAAAAGTTTTTTACTAATATAATTATTAAATTTTATTATTGTTAATTAATATTGTTAACTAGTATTGTTAGGCCGATTCTAGAGTATAGTTGTTAGGTTTGGACACACTTTTATGTGGTATTGAATCTGTTCAGAGGAATTTTTTTCAATTTTTACGTTTTGCTTTGAGATCCATTTAGATTGCCGTTTTATGAAGTTAGGTTGATGTTGATCGATTTGGGTTCCTTGCGGTTACCAATGACATAACGTTCATCCTTTAGCTTATGTCAGAGACCATTGTCGTTCCTTCTTTGTTGGGACGGGTTTCTATATAAAGGATAATGTAAAGAATCTTAGATCTGTTGAATTGTATAATGTTCGCTTTCATTCTACTGATTATGGAAGGAATGAGCCGGCCACTAGAATGTAACATTGTGTTAACTCTGATTCTTTAGTATTTAATACTACTATTAGTAAGGGTACTCTTAGATCTAGACTTTTGTGTAATTTAAATTTGTAGTAATATTTTTTTTTTCTTTTCTTTCTTGCTCGTCTTTATTTGTCAACTTTTTTTCTTTCTTAATTCTTTATTCTGTATTGTTAGTACTGTTTTTTTTTTCTTTTCTTGTCTGGTGGTGTTTACTTGTTTCATTCCTCTTTCCTATAAACGATAACGCTATTGCTTGGTAACTGATGGTTGCTTAGTTGAGACTAAATGATGTTTTTATTTGCGCGTTTTGGCGATGTGCTTGATGCTTGATTTAAGCAATGAATTGCCGATAATTAAATTCAAATATATATGCAAGGAGTTCAGCAACAAGTTAGGAGCCATATACTATTCGTAAATAAGTAGTTTATAGACGAGTAGACGTCCGAAAATGAGTAAATTTAGGTATGTTCAAATAACTTCGAAACTGATCCGATTTGACATTATGTTTGGATCAAAAATTTTACTCATTTTCGAACAACTTCCCCATTGCTATAAGAGACTTCTAGCATCTTGCTGAATCATAAAAGGTCAAAAATTTTTACATGAAATTAAAATATTATGAAAAATAAAATATATTAAAATATAAATTAATAAAAACGATCTTAAAAAAAAAAAGCACAACATCATTTTTGTCATTAAATTGAGCTTGACGAAATTTGTTTTCTCTTTTTAACAAACTGGTTTTTTAATTCAAGAATAATTATTTTAATAATTTGTAAATGTGAAAAATAATGGAAAATTTTAAACTGATATCGATTTGTTTTTGAAAATTTGAAAAATTATTTACTAATTCACGTATCTATCAAACGATTGTGGTTATATTTATTACGTCACGGCCGTCAAATACTTTAACTTGCTTACGTTTACGTTATCAGAAAATAAAATAGTATAGTGTTACAGTATACAGTAATAGGGAATGGAAGTGTTTACACCAAATTTATTCCGTTTTAATGACTTTATATATGGAAAATAAATTCTAAATCCTTAATTTTTAATACATAAATAAAATTATTATTTGCAATTATAAGATTTTTCCAATTAAACACACCCAAATGCCAAATACTCTTTGTCTTGAATTCTATATATTTTAAATATTCTTTTTATATCTAAGCATAACTAATAAATTTTCGTATGCTTCTCATGATTTTGAAATTTTTTAATTAGACCTTATATTTTTCGAAATAAAAAAAAAATTAATTTCCAAAAAATTTCTAAGAAAACCTATAAAACTTTTATATTCCCAAAATTTTGTTTACTATAACTCTTCACTATAATTAAAAATTTCTTATATTTTGAATTTTCAGACACAAACATTTTTAAATAGATTTAAAGTAGATTATCGACATAATTAACTCCTTTATTGTCCATTAACCCAATTATTTTGTCCATTAACCCAATTTAGAAACTCATTACATGATATTCGTACTTTCAATAGAAAGTAATCCGTAAGAATTATGAATATGTTGAAAAAAAGAATGTCTTGAGATGTATTGGATGCCTCAATCCAATTAAAGCTTAATATGTACATCATTATATCTAGATAAACTCTATTGTACTCTTTCGTAATACAAACATATGCTTTATATTACGATTCAAGAGTACAGTAAAAAAATTTTTAATTGTCCAAAAACTGTTTTTATTGAATAACTTGTCATTTAGGTTTCTTGAAGTTTGTGTCTCTTATAATGATCTGCAATCTTTTAATTTTAAAATTTAACTCATCTCTGTGATTGCGAGGCAGTTCCCTGCGACGGGGGGATGGGCTTTTTGGCCCCGTGGAGGACTTCGATGCATAATGTGGCTGCTATACTGCGATTTGTCAGGGGCCTGGATAAAAGGTTAATGTAGATGGGGATAAGAATCACAAAAGATCCTATGGGTTGACGTGAGAAGTGTTTAAGGACCTCGGTCACCCGAAGTGGTAAAAAAAAAAAACTCATCTCTTCCAATATGTGATCTGTGATTCTATGTATTAAAGTAAAAAACTTTAAACTTATTATGGACCTTAGAATAGATATTAATTAAAAACGCAAATCGTACATGTAGCTCTATGCAAAGAGTGCTTGTTCCAATATTCTAATAATAAAAAATTTATTTAGAATTTAATATATTATATATAATGTCTTTTAAGAATTAAAATCAAGTTTTTATTAATTACTATCACTCAGGCGCTTCCAAAATTGAATTGTTAATTGTAAATTGTCGTGTCAATATTGTCAATCAAAAAATACAAAGAGTTCAATACTTCAATGTCACAATTTATTGATAAATTTTCAACAATGTTGTAAAATTAATAATTAAACTTAATTTTATGCCAAATGAAGGGTAAAATTTTAAAAATAATTTTTATTATTTATGTAAGTACCTATTTGAAAAGTAAATGAACTTTTAATTTAATCGATCAAATAATTCGTTCGTTACACATGAAATAAAATTATAGAAGCGCAATTATAAAATAAATTATACAAAAAAAAAACAAATAAATAATTAATTTATTATCTTTAGATTTACTCGATTAATTTTTTTTCCCGATTGTATACAATTAAAATTTAAAAATGGTGTATAATATTTATTAAACGCAATTACATAAATAGTGTTAAAAATTCAGTCGATCAAACTAACAAATTGTAAATTAGCACATTTCACTTTAAAATTATGAATGAAAGTTTAAGAACTTTCAGAACTTTTAGAA